CCAAGATCACGAACTAATTCTTTAGAGAAACCAACCAACAATATCCGTTACCTTATAGAAAAATATCAACTGACCAACCATCTTCAGTTTAGGGCACTGCATTATCAGGTAAACTTTGTCACATCCAAACTTTCCAAAAATATTTACTTTCCATTACAACACAAATTTTCCGAGCAACATGAGCATAACGTCAACTGTGGCAAAATTAAGAACTAAAATCGCGGGAACACAATGATGACAAAGCAGTTCCTAAAAAATGTAATAGTAAGAACCGCACACTACGTGCATTATGTATCCTGCAACTCCTCTGGTCGAGACACAGATTATAGTTTGAGGCAATAAGTTTCTAAAAGTCGCGGTGGCAATAATTGACAACAGTTTACAGTACATACTTTATTAATACGTTAACCAACTATTTAATCACGTAATATTCATTAAAACTATATTATTTACATAAAATACGCCATTTTCTTCTCTCTAAACAATTGGATAATAAATAATCCACGCCACGCCCGGCATTCTGCTAGTATGAACATAGAAGCTCTTCCTGATGAGTACTAAAGGGGTTTTTGAATAATTAGATTAAATCGGATGTGTTAGTTTTGAACTCTTTTTGTGGTTACCTACCAATCATGACCACGTGAGCAGTAAGCAATGTTGTTTATGCTTCATCTTGAGATTCTGTTAAGAAAATTCCTTTCTAATTCGCAACCGTCTCCATGAAAGTTGCTCTGAAGCGATTTGAAAGAAATTCGAATTTGCCTTGCAATCTCCTCTTGTGACACTCTTGGAATTGTTGAAATGAAATGTCTCTGCCGATTCTGGGAACACGATCGTCCTCAGAGGACTAGTTTACACAAGAAAAGCTTCGCGACGAAGGCTCCGTGATGTCCTTGTCGGCGTAGGGATTAATTTTTCTCTGATGCTTCAACAGCGAAAGCGACACCTCATCTCCGGAATGCATTGCGCGAAACAAAAGCAAGCGCTTGAGAAAAAGTGAAAGAAAAAACGAATCAGTTTCCTTCGTTCCGAGAACGCATCGTGGAGGCGGCGGCGTTGACGAGCAGACGCAGGAGCGTTCGCCGCTTAAGTAACTCGTAATCCTACCCGAGATACAATCAAAGACAAGCGCATTAACCTTCCATTTCTGCGGAAAAATCAGCACTCGTGTTTACGGATCTGCAAGCTGATAATGAGGCCGTTTAAGCAACTTGAGAGCCATGTCCAGCCACAAATGAGAATGTCTAACAGCGTTTCTATCTAGGGCGTTTCATTAATGCATCTTCAATACTAATAAGAAAATTCCTCCGTAAATCGCAATTGCGTTTCGAATTAATGACAATCCCACACATTGCCGAGGATATTTACAAAACCTTGTTCCTTCCGTGGAAAATATTGCATATAAAATGCGATAGCATACGTCGGCGAGAGAAAACAATGTTCTGGCAATAATAGAGGAATTTATTTGGAAACGGTGCTGGAAAAATTATCATTAGCTAGTACGACGACATAATTTCAGTATTTCATAATCACTAAGTTGCGGATTTATAGGCAACTGTAGAAATAAGGAGACAAAATAGGCATTTAAAAATGTAAAACAGGCCTTTGAAAATGCACTATGCGTTTTTCTTATCCTTATTTACGTTCTTGAGTTGTAAGTTGCTGAAGGAAACATAATATATTGCATATATTATGTTTAACTTCGTGGAATATTATCTTTATATTACCTATTACCTTCGTGGAATGTTCGCTTACATTATTGTTCTGGTAAATCCTCTAGTAATCCTTTCTTTCATTGTTGGGCAATTCGGACAAAAATGCAGTAGCTACCTTTTTGCTTTTCATTAAAAGCCAGCTGATTTTCTATTACTGATGTATGATATTTTTTCAACAGCAAACTCTTCTTCGCATTATATCTAAAAATATATTTCAAATTTGCAATTTTCAAAAATTCAGAGAGTTAACAAAAAGTAAACTTGCATCATTTTTTTAAGTGTCTTTTGTTCTATACATGGAAAAAAAATTGAATCAAGCATTTAGAGAACAATTTTTGTAATTTGCGTGAAATTTAAACAGACATTTCTTAAAAGCAGTCATTTAAATGTAAACTTTGTGCAATGTAAACTTTTTGTAATTTTTGAAAATAGTATTCGCGAAAAATGGATCTGGCGCCAATTCTATACCGTCCTTCGATACAAGTAAGAAGAACATTTTAATAAAAAAGTTGGAGCCGTTTTTGAGCAAAAAATCATTCAAAAATTCAAAATAATAACTTCACTACCACCAGCAATTTTGCACTTGTTTCATAATACGAAACACCCGCACTGTAGTGGCAGTGAAGCGGTTCACAGATTTATCGACAATTTTTTACATTTTTTACATTTTTGATCAAGGATAATTGCATTTTCATCTACATGTACGAGAATAGGCACTCCTAATGTCTCAAAATGTCCTAATGCCTCAAACAAGTGACCTACAATTTTCCGATTTCCATTGAAGGAAAAAATAAGGTAATTGGCAAAAATCCACAGCTTGGTAATCACCTAATGTATTTTAGTAGATTATTGCATTTTTCTCATGGCGGTAGATGTTAGATGCCCTTTTGTAAGGAAATTTCTTAAAATATTTCCTGAACTGTATACATTAATAGTTTACCATTCTATTTCGAATATTTACAAAGACGATATTTTTCAGTAAAAAACACGAGTAGAGAATAAATTCCTGCGAACATTAGACCAACAAATGTTAAAATCGTTTGTTCTATTTCGAATTCTCAAAACAACCGTTATCAATCACGCTTTCCAATTGCCGTTGGAAAGAACGAGAACTGGCACAAACAACATTAACACATTCTTATTCTCGCTGCTGGATTGCACATCACTTGATTCGCGTAACTACTATTTCAAAACACTTCCATTTTCTTCTACCGTCAGGGTTCTTAAGAACATGCAATCAGTCTTACAACACAGCTCCCACCCACAATGCCTAGGCGACTTCTCTGCAGAGGAGGTCGGCTCCCAGGCCAGACCTGCTTCGCTGCTAATGTAGCGCTAATGGAAACGACTGCAGAGTGTAAATGCTTTCGCGACAATGAGGTGGGACCCTCCCACTCATTTTAGTTCCGATGAAAGCTTATTTTTCGAAATTATTTTCTGGATTAATGACTTCAACGTGTAAAATGAGAAAACGGAGGTTCTAGTCTCGTAGAGGAAGTAGTAATGATTAGGATTATTCAGGATAAAGACAAGAAAACCGGGAATCACAAATTTATTAACTTTACCTTAACTTTGCCTATGTTATAATTTTTATCTGACTTGTACTTTTTGTAAATTAATAAAATAATGGTCCGGGAGAGTAGCTTTTCTTATCGAAAATTATTTTTAATGAAATGTCAAATGTTGCAAATAACTGAAGGATGATATTTAATGATTTCATTGAAAACAAGATTGAAAGTCTTTTAATTAAAAAATGACTTTATTTTAATTTTTTGCGTTTTTCAATTTTTTTATTACTTAAACAAGTGCTAAAAATAAAAAAAAAATGTTATTTTTCAGGAAATTAGCTTATTATTTCACGAATCGTGGGCCCAGGTAGGAACTTTTAGACACTTCCGAGACTTCACATGATATGGTTCAATGAGAGTCAATATTAGGTTTTTAGAGTATTTTTATAACAACTCTAATTCGAAGACTTGAGAATCGATAATATTGTGGTATTGCTACGACAAGTATTGGCATGGAAGAATCTCCAAAAATGAAAGTTGCAATCCACGCGCGTAGAAGACAAAAGTGTAATTTGCGATTTTACTCAAGCAATTGAAATCTTTTTTATTTATTATAATGAGATCGTAACATTGGACTATTTAATTAATTAATGAATTTTAATTAATTAATTAATTTATCTTATGGCAAGCGTACAAGATCCATAATACATCAAATGCAGTCCAATATATCACAATGTGACACCACAAGAATAAAACAATTTTCAGAGACGTACAAAAAATGGTCACTCTCTAGAGGGACACGTCAAGCCTCTGAATCCATTCCAATTTATTAAATTTCTTAAAACATCCCGAAAAGTCCTGCAGTATTAAGGAAAATGCATATCCTGTGTATTACACCACATCGAGGTCGGTTCGAGAGATTATAGAAAAATAGACGATGTACACTTTATACCGTGTGCTTTTGCAAGTATCCATGATAATCGCATCATATTACCTACTCTTAACGAGACATTCTTAGGTTCGCGCTTGTGGAGATAATTGGGGCTCATACAAGCACGGGATGGGGGGGGGGTAATCCTCTCGGATAAACAAGAAATCTTGTGGCCACAACTCCATGAATAAAACCAGTACGAACTGAAACTACCTATTTATAATTTTCTCGAGGAGGCGGGCTTGTGGTTGAACGTATCCTGAAAGTGTGTCAGCTTATTTTCCTGTACCGGGTTCAGTTGTTGGAATTACAACGGAACTGTCAACCTGATGTTAAGCAGAATTGAATTACGACGAGTGTTTTCTAGTGAGTTTACGGTGTTTTTAGAAAATTATGAATATTACGTTTAATGTTTGAATTTTATTGTAATATCCTTGATAATGTTTGGAATTGGAAAATGCGCCGCGCACGTGGTCACCTTCGGCTTTGCGTGAAACACAAGACGCGCAGACCAGAACAGTTAAATCGGTTACGTCATTGAAAGAAGTTGCTACAAAACCGTGCGAGAACAATACATAGGTTTTGTTGGAAATAGTAATGACCAAGATTTTCATATAATATAATGTGTATGACGATGTATAAAATATAATGATGTGGTATAAAGTATTATATTAAGTAATAGCACTCATTAGTATCCTGAATCAGGTTCTTAGTCATTCTTCTATACCGATTAATATTCTTTCTTTTTGGCGAATTTAATTATTTCTTACACTCTAATGTTTCGGTCCTAATTTTTGGTTCTCATCACAACTTGCACACGAACTACGGAAATAACGTTTGAAAGAAATGTTTGGCACGCGCGGTGGGCGCAGCCGTTGTGGCGATAACTCGCCCAATCACAAGCACAGCGTTTCGGCTCGGGCGCGCGTGGCGTCAACACTGCAGCTGCGTCGTAGCCGCTACGCAACGGGGCGGAGGCGCGTGCCGAGATCACTGGACCCGCCTCCCTCGCACACGCACGCGGCCAGGCCACGCGCCGCAGGTTTTCTTTAGCCTCAGTGCGCCGCCGCCGCGCCCCCGCCCCGCCCCGTCCGTTGCACTCCGAAAGAACGCCCGGGCCGATGCGACGAGAGGGAAGAGAGGCGGTGGGGAGTTAGGTGAGGAAGAAGAAGTCCTTTTAGAATCCTCTGAGCTCTTCAAAAATACCGGATTAACCGAAAGGGTTACATCATCGTACAGTGGAAGAACCTTATCTCTCTGTCTGCGAATCTGAAAGGGGGAAATAATTTTCCTGTTACGGAATATCGTTTTGTAGGAATGCTGTAGGGAAATGAAAAGAAAAGAAAATCGAGGATTCCAAGATATTTGGCAATTGAGAATTGAATTATCCAGGTTCGATTTTATCGTTATGTTTGTGCAATCTTTTCATATTTCACCTCTCTGGCGAAATGTGAAACTGCATAATTTAGAATCTACGAATCGTCAAGCTTTATTTTGGGTCTTTTTTATTCGTTTAGAGTGGTCTCAACTGAGCGAAACCCTGTTCAGTCGCTCTCGATTGAAGTTTCGCCTAATCCACTTTTGGAGAGATAGCGTGCTTGGGATGCAGCGAAATTCGGGTAGGGAATATAAAACGGAAATGAGGTCACTTGCAACGAGATTACACTCCGAAAACATTCTCTAAATAACAATGGTGCGCAAGCGATTAAAACACAAATGGCGGGCATCGTGGAAACAAAAACATTTTTTTATGTTTACACAAACACGTTTCGTGATTTTCGATTTGTTATTGTCGCAACGTTGTAGGGTTGGTACGTGAGGATATAACGCCTCGCAACAGAGGAAATAGTGACGCGGACTCAGCACGCAACTGCGAGAGGTCGAAGCGAGACACCACATACAATGTTGCTCTTGGAACTGAACGGAAATTTCAAACCTGTCCACAACTCTGGAACGGTTTCCCTTCGTAGAAAAGGAAGGTCCACGGCGTAGAAGGAAGCCAGATTCTGCAAGAACTTCCAAGAGAATGGGTTGATTGCTGTACCGCGACATGGAAATTCTCCAATTTAAACTCGATCAAAGATCTTAGAGACTGGTCCGGATGGCCGAGATCGTGAAGGCCCCACCTTCGCATGGTTATATTTGTGTTCGTCCTATCACGCCCTATCATAACATCACATCATCTTCATAGTGACCATACCGTTAAATTCAAGTGGTCGCCAAAGACCTAGATGTTGATGCAACCTTTAAAAAAAATTAAAAAATCATTGAGGAATTTTCAGACTTACATGGAGCCGTATAATATAATGTAAGTCAATACGGAGTGCTGGCTCAAGGGTGTCTTCATGATGAAAATAAACATGGTTCACAAAAAAACTTATGGAATCTATGCCTGAACGTTACGGGATGTTGCAGTGTTCATCTGCACTATTCTGCAAATAATATTTTTGTCTGGTCAGCTATCGGCATTAATTTGAATCGCACAGATAGTTTGGCTACTATCACGTGTGAGTTCATTCATTCTCTTCTTTGCCGGTGAATATAAAAATATCTTGATATTGAAACAAAATATCAATACCGGTAAAGATCAAGTTCTTTATGAGTGAACTATAACTGTCTCCTCAAGCCCGCTGACGACATGTTGGGTAACAAAAAGTCCATACGATGAAGAGGTATTAAAATTACACAAGTCTCTCTTAATTCTATACACTAATACAAATATTAAAAATAATTATTCTCGCACTTCTTTGTAGTAGAATAATTTTGAAAATGTGATAGTAAAAAGCTGAAAGTTGAAGAAAACTGAAAGTTTTAAATTTTAAATAAACAACAATTAAATACCGCCTATTCTTTTTTCTTCCGACAAATGGTGCAGAACGAAATCAGTTCATACTTAACAGCTGCGCTATGAATGATATATTTGACGCCATCGAAATAAATACCACCGCAACGCCACGGCAGACACTGTCGACTCGCCTCCAGCTCCGCTGCCGCCGCCGCCCGCCCAGCGCCTGCCTGCTGGCTGCGGCGGCCGGGTGGGGGCAGTGAACAGCGTGCTGAGCTGGGAGCTGCGGAGGGGGCGCGTGGAGGTTGGTGGGCTAAGCCTGCGGGGGGCGGCGGGCAGGGAATGGGTGGGGGAAGGGAGCGGTACTTTGATCCGTGAGAATATGCGGTCGGCGGCGCCGAGGCGGTCTCATGTTCTGTGAAGCGTCTCGACGTGGATACGGATTGCATTGTGTGACGGCTCGCTGTCTTATGCGGCGTGCGACTTTAGTCGGTTCGTCCACCGTCGCAGTTGGTTGGGTTTGTCGCTGTCGTGCGGTGAGCTGTGTTTGCAAGAGCGGTGGAGTAAATGCTTCGCAGAGGAGGTCTTCCAATTTGTCAGAGCCAGAGAGTAGATATAAGTTGGTGTTCTGTCGAAAATCATTTTTGCTTCTCCTTCGTTCTCTGTGTGGGCGCATTGGAATATAATCTGGAAGTCTGGGGTGTGAACGAGAACGTAGTCTTGCGCGTCGCGCGATGCAGCTGGATACGAAAATAGTTGAGTTTTTGGTACGCTTCGTTGAGTTGTGGTCGGCAGAACTATGTGGCTTTGGATTCGAATAGCCCCCCCCCCCCGGGGTAAAGATAAACCTTTCTGCTTTCGGGCTCAAATCGTGTAGTATTTAGAGAGGCCTTTACGGTAAACTATTCACAGTGCATGTGACGAGAGCTAACTTGGAGGTTGCCCGTATTTGAAATTTTGCGTGCGGAGAGCTTTCGTGTGCGGTCCGTCTGTGAAACGGGCGGTCCGCTTTGTGCGAGTTTACGTTCACTAGTGACATATGCTGGGCTATTGTGTCGGCTTTTGTAAGTAGGACGGTAATTCATGAATGTAAGGCTTAAGTGTGGATTTAATTCAGTTAAGTAATGGAAGTTTTTAAGCGGTGTGTACATATTCATTCGCGATGCATTAATATAATTTTGAGTTTCGCTGTTCTTGTAGGCGAACCTCGTCATTCTGAAGTACTTTTTCTTCTTTCAGGTGTAGATGTCGAGATGCTTCGCTGATAACACAGGGGGAGAAAATCTGTACGTTGCGTCATGGGGTATTTCTTCTCATGAGCGAGTCGGTTGTGTGCTCGATGGCTGCAATTGTCCTTCCGCGAAGAGCCGTGCTTTGTGCATCGTTCGACGCATCGCGTTTAGCGCAGGCGATAGGCGCCCGCCGCCCCGCTGCCGCTCGCCCGCCCGCCTCGTCCTCGGCCCGCCCCGCCCGCCCCGCGCCGTTACTTGCGGCGACCGCATAAAACCCCACGCGCGCCCGGCGCTGCTGACTTCGCATGCGACACTGCGCGCCGCTGCTCGTTACGGCGCGCTAATAGCCGCGCTACCTGGAAACGCGCCTTGTGCCGAAACGCCGCCCTGCCCCGCGGCGCAGGCGAAAATCAGCGCTTCGTAATCACATCATCTGGGAACGCTTGAGAACGGTTACGCCTGATATCTTGGCCGGTGTGTTAGGTGTTTATCAGTTTATCGTAATTCAAAGACATTCTGCTTTGCTTTGAGGAGAAAAAATGGCGAAGAAATGAATTCTTACTCTCAAATTGTTGGCGATCTTATTTCGTTTTTTTTTTGGAGGTGCCCTGATTTTCGTTTAGTTTACGAAGTGTAATTATTTGCACGGTAGTACGAGATCGTAATCATACCGAACAGCCGCGGAAATACTAACCTATGCTTAGGTTAGCAAAGGACTGTAGGGTTGTAAGAGGTGAATTGCAATGCTTGTGTGTAGCTGTTAAACGTTGCTTCAAATCGCGCGGTCGAATTCGTCTTTGCCCGCGGAGACGGTGCGCACGCCGCACTGCGCCTGGCTTTTCCTGCGGCCGCCGCCAGATCGCGCTGGGGGCTCGGCCGGCGCGCGGCCCCGCGCCCGCTTCGCGCCGCCGACGCTTCTCGGAAGGCCCGCCCGCGCCCAGGTAGCTGGAAGACGCTTTTCTCTCTTTCTCGGCTTTCCGGCCCCTCCCTCCCACCGCGCGGGGGAAAGTAACCTTTTCAGCGTTTTCGCCGCGGGGCGCGCCGGGAATGCGCCCGCCTTTGTTCGAGTCTCCAAAAAGGAAGGGAGAGCACGAAACATGATGTGCAGGAGTACAAAAAAGAGAAATATTACATTAATATAATACATGATGGTTTCGCTGGATTTGGTCCTGGTTGCGAGATGTAATTATCATGCAAATCCGTGACCGTTTGCTAAACGCAAAGAAATCCATTGTGGCCCTATTTTCTTCATTGTTTACTGGCTTCACTGTAAAATAATTTGCAGTAAGCATATATACGTATAAAAAGTGGAGTAATATAATGCAGTATGTACATAGAAAAAAGAAACTATTCGCTAAATTTTATATGTTCCCACGCCGTCAATATTCTATCATATGTGCTACGCAAAAGCAAATTCCAAATGACAATTGTTCTTAACTCGTTCGGGGATCCCGTGGAACCGCGCGTTCGTGTGCAGTGTTTGACGTTTGTGTGGGGCCCGCGCGCACCGCCTCGGAAAGCAACCGCTCCCCGCAGCCACGTGCAGGCGGCTCGCGACGGGTCGACGTCGCAGCGGCGCGGCAATCGCTGAAAAACGCGCCTTCAGCCGCGTTCGAAAAAGTCACGGTACAAACAATCAAGAGGCATTGATTCAGAAGATTCTCTAGTATACTCTTAAATGAAAATATTGCTACCCCTGTGGACTCGGCGAGTGGTGAGCCTTCCGATATTATCTTCAAGTCCCAAATTTCCGTGTCATGTTTTTTCCACTTCTGATTCTTACTCGTGGGTGCAAATCTTTTGGAAGAAAAGTTGAATCACCGTTGTATACCGGAAACGCTCGAGAATGGATCACTTTGTGGTAGGAAGAACAAGCGCTGTCCCAGTGGATCTACCCCCGGCAATTTGACTCTTACAAGACGTTCTACTATCATTGCGAAGGTAATAAATGCATTATTTTTGCAACTGTTGACAAAGTACTTGATGATCCGTCATCCCGAAAATGTGGACTATTTGCCTGGGAGGACCTTTCGTATGATAACGTATAAATGTAATAACAGGCCCCTTTAAAGTAATTCTTATGTACTTTTTCATTGATTTTCAATCTGTTACACCGCTGAGGGTATTGCACTGCGAAAACGGTAAATATTTGATTTCTGATAAAACTGGTTATGAAGTATAAATTTGCAACCTTTCCTTAAACTGCACACAACCCATGACAGGCAATCGTACATTCAAGTGTGTGTGGCCCAAGGAAAATGCGAAAACGGCTTCCAAGTCGGGCAGCAACGTTCTTCGAAGAGGGGGGTTGCTTGGCGCTTGCTTGGACAGCCCCGTCGGCGGCGGGCGCCCCTTCGCGCCAGGGACTGCTGGTTGGGCCAGCGCTTCGCGGAAGCCCTGGCGAAAGCGCCTGCCGGGAACTTGTCCGAGTTGGCCCACGCCTGTGTGCGGCGCGGCCCCTCCAAGAGGCCTTCCGAACGTGGATGATCCACGGAACAAATGTTTTAATGTTTACTTGGCTTTTAGCAGTTCCGTCACTGCGGAGTGCATTCCACGCGGGCAATATGATGACGCAGCGTAAGACACGAATGTTGTTCTGCTTGTTTTAATTACATTTTTTATACGTACGAGTAAGCGAACGGAATGCTTTAATTTCGTTGAGTGATGCTGATTATGAAGTTGTGGTTATTGTAGGAAGGTATTCACGTTTGTGCGAAGTTCTATTTACCTCCTATGTACGTTTGTACTGAAAATGTTTGTTAAATTTTCTGCTCGCAGTATGTTGTGTATTTTGTATTTGTAAATCAGGACATATATCTACGATTAAATTGCCCATTTTATTGCAAAAAAGGAATATTTGATCAGAATTTAAGCAAAATTGCGGCCAAGTTACGTTCGTAAAATTACAATTTTTGCTCTCCCAGAAACTGACTCGGTATGGAGATTGTTTCCAAGAAAATGCTTCGGGCGTCAATCATATACTTCTAGCACAAAATGCTTAAGGCAAACCGTAATCACATATTCCACTTTACATTCCAACCCTCCAGTTTTTCCTTTCTCGCCAAACAATATCGTGCAGAGAAACTTTTGTAATGAAGTGGCAGGTGACGAGTTGTCGTCGGAGGATCTCGCATTCTGGGGCCCTGATGTTGAAAAGCTGTGATTTGTGGGTCCTTAATATGCATAAAAAGTCGCAATGTTAGAAAATTCCATCGTTGCAGATAGCGCGAGCAAGTGTGTGGTGGCGGCGGGCGGTGGGCGGTGGGCCGCGTGCGTGCAGGAAAACCTCGGAATGCGCGCGGCGGGGGAGGGGGGCGGCACGTCCTTGCCGCGGTCGCGTGCCCCCGCCCCCGCCGCTGATGCTATCGCGTTGCGTTAACCCGCGCGCGCAATGTGGGGCGTCCTTCGGACTGTGTTCATCCGCGGGCCGCGAGCACCCGCGCGTTGATCCAATGAAGCGGATGCGAATGTCGGGCGCAGGGAGTGCGTTTGGGATGAAGATGAGCTGACGCGACCGCGTGTAGGTTTTGCAAGACCAATTAGTAGCATAATTCCTGGGACAGACAGATTTAATTGCCGGGTACTTCTGGATGTTTTCAAAGTTCGGGCAAGATGTGAAGGTGCAGCATTTACCATGATGGGTTATAATATACTATTTAAATTGATTCTGTAGCTTTATATACTTTTGTTCAAGATTGATATACATACGAGTAATTCGTATGGTTAAATCATTTTTTCGTCTACCATAGTTTTCATACAATATTTTCGCGTTCGTGTGCACAATTCTATCTAGGTAAATAGTAATCTCGACATCAGATTGTATGTATAGTGTCTGGATAATCTCATCTTTAGCGGTGTTCATAATAGCGAATGAACACGCACATGGCAGCTGTGCAATGCAGCGGTGTTGGGAGAAGGGCCGCAGACGGGAGATGGCGGGACGTTTCTGCAGTGCAGCGCGGAGGTGTCGTCGCCGTCAGATTGATGTGTTGCACGTGCGGCCTGCAGCGCCTCACGCGGGCGTTTATGGCGATGCGCGCTCCGGCTGCCCGCCTCCATCTGCCTCGCTCTTCCTTCTACTCCACCCAGTCTTCATTCGTTCCGTTACATTTTCTAACAGTTTATCCAAA